TATATATATATAACTCTAATCAGCTCGATCTTATTATTGTATAATATAAATATTTATTAATCTCAAATATTTGATATTTTAAACCGATTGTTTATGATAAAATACAATAAAATATTTATTTACCATGCATTTTTATAAAAATATTATTTAAATTTAAAATTTAAAATTAAATCTTTCCTGTATTTAAGAAATTCTAAAGTATTAAAATTATTATCTAAATTTTTGTAATAAAATTTAATTATAATTTTTTTTTGAATTTTTTGAATTTATATTAAATTGAATGCAAATTTTTGTAACTAAATTTAATTAAATTTCTAATAATTTGAAATTTAAATTAAATATGACCTAGATTTTAGGAAATCTAAAAATATATAAATTAATAACTAATTTTCGGAACTTAAATATAAATTAAAATAAAATATTATTAAAAAAACTTTGGAAGTGTTCGGATACAAGTACTAAATGTGCTTCTGTTTTAATAGATGACATCTGCTTTCTTTAATTTCAATCAATTCTTCCTCCTCTAAGAATAAAGGCTCTCTAATACGATATGATTTGTGGAGGAGACTCGTAGAATGAAAAACAAAAATGGCGTTATGCCAAATTAAACGATATAAATTTTAAAATTCACCAAACTTTTGGAATCCTTACAAATCACAATAATAATTATAATAATAGAAATAATGGAAACTAAAAAAAGAAAATATCATTGTATGAATTGTGATGGAAATCAAATATTTGCATTTATAGTTAAAGATCAAACAAAAAGTGAAAGAAAAAAAAACCTTTGACCGGTTCTGATCCGAGTCATCCGCATGAATAAGGCACCAAGTAGGCGTGGCAGGTGCCGAAATTAAATAACTTTATAATTAGCTTCATCATCAAAACGAATAATTGAATTTCTTGGTCAATGAAATACGACAAAGTTGTTTTAAAATACCAGTAGACATTGCCAAATTGACTAACCTATCCATCACCAACCATAGATAAAAATATAGGAACTTCTTTTCATTTAACCTAGTAGGTTTAGTTCTTTTAAATTTACAAAGAACGTTTTATGTCTATTTAAAATTTACAATGTAAGACGAGATGTTTAGTAAATTAGCAGAAGAGGATGAAATAAAAAATAACGTGTGAATTACCAAATAAATTTCTAAATTTGATGTGAGGGACGTGGAAATATTTTTTAAATTTACTATTGATGACTCGGGATTATTTTTGTATATCTCTCATGAAAATAAATTCAAACAAAAGAAGGTAATACAAGATCTTTTTTCGAGATAGGATGGAAACGAAAATGGAAATGAGGACCAAAAAGAAATATTTTACCAAGGGCAATTAATGAGATTATGGTGATTAGTAAAAAATTAAAAAGTGATTAATGGTTAATTGATTTGATAATATTATGTCTTTTAGTCGACCATAATAGAATAAGAGTCAAAAGACAAAGGTGGCTCGAGTATAGCTTTTCTATGTTCTTACGTCCAATAATAAATAAATTGTAATAAAATAATTCTTTCTCTCTCTCTTCGTCTATATAAAAATTACAAAAACCTCATCACTGCTTTCCAAATTCCCAAAAGCACAGTTTCGTAAACACTCGTAAGAAGAAGAAGAAGAAAGCAAATTTCGTCAATTGCAATGGAGAATCTATTGGGTCTTCTCAGAATTCATGTGAAGAGAGGTGTGAATCTCGCCATTAGAGATATCTCCAGCAGCGATCCTTATGTCGTTGTTCACTCAGGCAAACAGGTAAAAAAAAAAGAATTCGATTTTGGCTTCTCAATTAAACCTCAATTTAGCATATTTGGCTAAAGTGATGAATCTGTTCGAATCTGAATGTTTTTTTTTTTGTATTTAACTGTTGGTTGGTAATAAAAAGGGATTTGTGTAATGAAAACTCAATTGGGTGTTTTTTATACATTGACAGTAGATTATTGGTTCTTGATGTTAATAGATCTTCAACAGAATTCATCAAGAACTGAGATTTTAGATTTAGTTCTCAGTAATGAGATTTGAAGTCAGACTTAGAAGATTTACCTAACTTATTTTGGGTTTTAGTTATACCTAATTTGACAAGCTAATGTGAAGTCTTTGAAATCTTGATTTAGTCAAATATCTCTAAAGTTAAAACCTTTGGATATCTTCTTCTCTGCTAGAGTTGGGTTTATGCATATGATAATTTGCATACAAGTAAATTGGAGAAGAAGATTTATGATTAATGTTTTTGTGGGTCCTTGTACCCATATGATCAACTGTATTATGAAATTGGAATATTAGTTGTCTTTTACTCTAAACCAACCAATTGTTCTTTGTTCTTTCTGTCATCATTAATCCTCTGGTTCCACCTTGAAATGATTGAAAATGATGACTTTTGTCCCCTTTTGACTCAGCTTAACATCAAGCAAAAGCAGTTTCATAGTTCTTGATTCTCTTACTTAATGATAGTTTTTGTTTATTTGATGCAGAAGCTGAAAACCCGTGTGATCAAACACAGTGTAAACCCTGAGTGGAACGATGATTTGACTCTCTCTGTGACTGATCCAAATCTCCCTATCAAACTTGTAAGTGATCATACTTAAAACATTTTCTTTAAACATCACCATTTGGTGTTCACTAGAGAAATGAAAACATTCTTGTTATTGGAACACAGACGGTGTACGATAAGGATTTGTTCTCGGCGGATGATAAGATGGGAGAAGCAGAGTTTAACATTGCTACATATCTTGAAGCCATTAAGTTTCGCCATAAGCTCGAAGGAGGACTGCCCAATGGAACCATAATAATGAAGATACAGCCGAGCAGACAAAACTGTCTATCTGAAGAGAGCCATATTGTGTGGAACCAAGGCAAGCTTGTTCAGAACATGTTCCTTAGACTCCAGCACGTGGAATGCGGAGAGGTCGAGTTACAGCTTGAGTGGATCGATGTCCCCGGTTCAAGGGGTATTTAAGTCATTTCATATCGATTGATTACTATCCTTAGTCCCCTTGTGCATACATGGTTTAGAACTTAGAAGCTGGTCAGTGAAAGAATCTCAAGCTGGCTTATGTAATAAACTCTTATTTTGGATTTTTTTGTTCTTATTTGAGTCCAAAAAGTGTGCAAGTCCATGAGGAGTAACTTACAAAGTGTAACATTTGGTTTCCTCTCATTAATAATCTTCTCTCGTTAGCTTTGAATTTGCTATGATTCAACTGATCAAACCTCCATGATAAGCTAAATTTTTTCACTGAAGTTTAGATGTGTCAAGCTACAAATCTTCTTAACCTCTTCCTTTTTTATGCCTCTGTGTTCCATTCATCTTCTTAACTTCTGTCCTCTGTTCTCATCTTCTTCTTCTTCATCTTCTTCTTCTTCATCTTCTTCTTCTTCATCTTCTTCTTCTTCATCTTCTTCTTCTTCATCTTCTTCTTCTTCATCTTCTTCTTCATCTTCTTCTTCTTCATCTTCTTCTTCATCTTCTTCTTCATCTTCTTCTTCTTCTTCTTCTTCTTCTTCTTCTTCTTCTTCTTCTTCTTCTTCTTCTTCTTCTTCTTCTTCTTCTTCTTCTTCTTCTTCTTCTTCTTCTTCTTCTTCTTCTTCTTCTTCTTCTTCTTCTTCTTCTTCTTCTTCTCCTTCTTCTTCTTCTTC